TTAACACACCGTAGGCCATGTGGGAGTCCAGTACTTTAACCACTATGCCACCTGCAATAAGAAAAAAAAAATCACAAAGGAATGCCTCATCTCTCCTTTGGTTTCAGTGTGCTGCTGCATGGAGACTTTGCACAGGGAACCTAAGTCATTCAGATGTGGTAGGAGTCACACACAGCCACTCGGCACATGTCCTTAGTCACGTTGCTTTGGGGGGGAAGTCAGTGGTAACCACAGGCACAGGTTAAAGGAAACTACGAACTCCAACACACAATCACACACGCGAGTCTGGTCCCTCCTTTGGTTTCAGTGTGCTGCTGCATGGAGACTTTGCACAGGGAACCTAAGTCATTCAGATGTGGTAGGAGTCACACACAGCCACTCGGCACATGTCCTTAGTCACGTTGCTTTGGGGGGGAAGTCAGTGGTAACCACAGGCACAGGTTAAAGGAAACTACGAACTCCAACACACAATCACACACGCGAGTCTGGTCCAGGCAACTGCATGTGCAAACAAGTTGTGAGTTGGACCACGGGAACTGGGAGTGCAGACCACCCAATGGGTGGTGCAGAGCTGCCTTCAGAGGCCTTGCTTCTGGAGAAAGTAAAACAAAGAGTTTTGTTTTGTTTTGTTTTGTTTTGTTTTTAATATTATTTGTAAGATTCCCAGATTATCCTACTAATCCATCTGGTCTTTTTTGTAGCTGGCTTCTCTCAGGACAGTATATCCCTGAGAAATCTCCTCAAGAACAGCAGACTATGGGAAACAAATTCTGGTTAAGTCACATTTAAGATAGGCCCTGCATATTTTCCTACCACCACACCTCTAATATCTGCCTCCCTCTTCTCATTTCTCCTCTGAAGGACTTTGTATTTTGGCTACCTTTGCCTTCTAGCCAACACTTTCATGCCTGTGGGTGTGAGAAATGACAAATGTTAAGGCCTGGCCCCGAGTGTGTTCTTCACTATGCTGCATCTCAAACAGGCCTTGTCCACATGGTGGTCACTCAAGAAAGGTGGATTGTCTACTCCTCCCTCCAAAAATATTTCTCTGGAAAGTTCTTCTGATCCTGTACCACACTCATTTTTTGTTGTGTACCTACTTTCATTTCCCTCTGTTTCTTGTGATTGCTCTATTGCTAGAGATGCCTGCATTCATCAGAGAGAAAGAGAGAGACAGGAGGAGAGAAAGCGCCCCCCAGTGGAACATGATCCACAATTTTTTCCCCTCTATTTGTCCATCCCATCAGGATTTGGAATGGTTTTCAAGCTCTCCGAACTGGAATTCTGCCCACAGGGGGCCATGTGGCATCTGACTCTCCACACACAGGTCTTAACCTCTGTGCTATGGAACAGCCCTGTTCCTTGTGAAGTTTTAAACAGCTTGCTTCAGACGGTCTCTTCTAACACTCCATGTCGTGTTTCCTCTTCTCCTGATCTACATAAGATATACTTGCTGTCGGAGTGATGGTAAGAATGTCTAAAACCAGACTGAACCTAGACCAGTGTGGTGCTGGCATCCTCGTAATTGCCAGCTCCCTCAGATACCTGCTAATTTCTACATTCCCACTGATGTGGCATAATTACAGATGGCAGGTGAGGTAGTCTCCATGCCTGTGCCAATCTATTCCCTGATTATGGCTCTTTAGCACGCACATACTTGAGAAAGTAAGTTGGCTTGTCTGGGATCTCGGTACTAAATATGAGTGCTTTAAATAGAAACTTAGTATTTATTTGTTAGGATGAAGTATTATGGAAATTTTGAGTCAGAAGAATAACATTTAAACGAATAGAAAGTCTCATTTAAAGCAAAGGGAACTGGAGGACTAGCAGTTGGTGTAATGGCCATGTTGCTGGACTCCCATGTAGTCGA